CCGATCTTAACTATGCTGAACTTAATATAAATACTTTGATCAAACATGTCCTGAAGTACACCGAACACCTACTGAACACAAAGATGGCCGTGACGGGCGCCCGTGCCCGCCGACGGCTTCACGCCGTTCTCGGCTGAACTACCAAATTATCCGACAACTACTGAACACTTCAACAAGATTATAATACTGAACCCAAATAAAGCTTATTCACCCGAAAGAATTCGGCTAATACTGAAATAATAGGCCTCGGCCCGCGGCTACCCGGACTACGCGCGATAGGCGCGGGCGCCGGCTAGGGCCCGTTCATCGGCCACACTACAACTTATCTCATCAATTTACTCATGTTGAACACAACAATAGTCTAAACTGAGCATTTAAAGGCTTATTGTTCGAAAGTTGTCGGAGGAATTAAACTTTGTTCGGCGGTAATTTACATAGGCTTAAGCACGGTTTTGAACAAAATTTCCTTAAAAATTTCTGAAAATTCTTCCGCACAATCAACTCTAAAGTAGATTGATTAACATGATTCTAACACGAGGAGGAAATACCTTAACAATCGCTCGACTAAAAATCGAAGATGTGGTGTGCTTCTTCCTCGCGCAAGCTCCGTGCGGTAGGCTTCGGTTTTTCCGTGCGATTGTGATCGGATAAAAGGAATAATTTTCTGAACTTTTTGCTGAGGGAAGGAAGGATGTATATGCTGCAAGTACTGTTCGGTTCCTTAAGAAAAAGTGACCAAAATTTCCCAAAGGACATGCTTATATATAAGGCCGTAGATGATGGGGATGATGAAGGTGTTATGTGGCTTTTTCTCCTTCTTACATTTGCTCTAATCTCAATTAACTTGTGATGACTAATCCACCTCTTTAAAGGACAAGTTGCTCACTCTAATTGGTGGAAAAAGGACTTACCTTGAGCTTAAGGAAACTCACGATTTACTTGGAAAATTTTGGGAAAAATATAGCTAATACCCACGGCTTTTAAGGCTTCTATGCTAATTAATGTGATTAATCACAAATTAATCACTTAAATGATGTTTAATTGTTAAATTAAACATAATACTTAATTACCAAAATTATTTCGAACGTAAACGGTACGCCGAAAATAGATTTCGGTAACCCGACTGAACTTAATTAATTCCGAAAATAATAAACGCTAACGTTACTATATCGGAATTAAACGTAATTTATACTGATAATGTCTCGGGATATTACACAGGTACTACAAGGAGGTGATTGGTGCACTAAAGTTGTGTGCTCCCTTGCCACCTAAATCGAAAAAGGGGGGAGAGAAATGAAGAGAAAACTAAGGGGGAGAAAGCTAAAGGAGATCCAAATGCGAAAAGGAAAGAGGAAGAAGGTAATAAAGCTAAGGTGAAGAAGGTCATAGAGGGTGAAGGTTCTGATGCTGCTGATCATGAAGAAGAAGAGGCCGAGTCGGATGATGGCTCTGAGTCAGAAGAAAAGACTGAAGCTGGATTCGAAGAAGGTTCAGAGGAAAGCGAGTCGGGAGATGAAGAAGAGTGTGCATAGACTCAATTGCTGGATATTTGTTTATGTTTTAAAAAAACTTGTTTGTGTTTCGTTTTTTTTTCTTTGGATGAACACCGAATTATGTGTGGTTACTTTTGAGTATTGATTTTATTTTTTTTTGGTTTGGTGAACTATAAATGTTGTTATCATAATCCGCATTCTTGTAGGGTATAATCATGTGGTTGTTCATATGAACAACATAAATTGCTTTAGGTTTTTGAAATTTGCACCTTGCAAGTTCATTATAACAGGTTTTTGATTTATCTGCCAAAGAGGGAGATTGTAAATGTTGATATTTGGCAGTAAATCGTCGATACCGGATTGAACCTTCATCGTACCAAGAATATTTACATGCATAAATATTTAAGGGAAGTTTATTTTGTATTATTTTAACTAAAATCCTTAATATTAGTTAATTGAAATTAACTAATACTCTTATTATTTGTGTCGGGTTAACGAAGTATCCATAAGATACACTTACCATGTGAAGAATCCCAAATCGCGTGGTCAAACATTCCTTAAGTGATGACAATGGATCAATCAAGGGAACTTACTTTGTGTAGCAAGACTTTGCGGCAAAGGTTCCTTGGACTCATCATACTTGAGCGCGACATATAAGCTGGTGAACCTGTATGAAAAAATTAGTTCACAATTATACTCTTGATTTTCTGAGGGTAGTTCTTGAGTTTAATACGGTTTTCAGTGAGTTTAATTTTATTGCGTGGTGAATCGAGAAGGTATTCTCGATCACGTTGAGAGAGTAGTTTACTTTTGATTAATCTGAGTGTTCGGGAGGTTCACAGATTAGTTTGAGGAATTTAAACTAGAAAAATCCACAAGGGATTTGTGGTCCGAAAAGTAATAGCGTAAGAGATTATTTCAAAGGTAGTGGAGAGGGATTCGACATTGTAAATCCTTTGAATAATGGTTCTAACATCTATGTTAATGAAAGAGTTCCGGAGGGAGAGAGGGATGCACTCCTGAAGGTTCATGTTTTGTAGAACTTTTACTTCTACAACTGTGTGAATGTACATTCAAGATACATACCTTTTATACTTAGCGCAATTCTAATTACTAAATATATCCCTCACAACTTCAGGATGTTTTTGGAGACCTCTATCAATGCCTATTTGCAGCTCAGAATGTATATGTTGATACCGAGCTTGCTTACGATCTAGATTTTACTCTATAGAATAGGACCGCAATGCGTTATTGTTACGCTAAGTACCAGATTCGACTCCTTATGGAGAAGGATTTCTATAAGCAAAAGGCTGACGTGCGCTTGGTTGCCAAGGAGGAGTGCAATACAAAGTACTTCCATGGGCTTGTGAGCCAGAAACGTGTCAAGTCGTACATCCATAATATCAAAATCAACGGGTCAACACTGATACGAGAGTCGATTGTAGCGCACTTTCAGTCGCTCTTCACCTCTTACAGGGACTTGTTTACGACCCCTAATGCTACCTTTTTCCCAAACATCCCCTATTCGGTCTACCTTTTTGGCCTTTATAAGCTCCCGAGGAGAGAGGAGGTTAGGGAAGTTGTTTTTAGGGATTGACCCCAACAGTGTTCCGGCCCAGATGACATCTCATCTCTCTTCTTTCAGGCTTGCTGGGATCTTGTTGATACTGATGTTGAGTAAGCTTTGGTGGATTTATTCTCTAGTCACCAGATGCCAGAGTCCTTTACGACTACCTCAGTCGTCTTAATCATCAAGATACCTTGCCCGAGCTATTGGTCAGATTATTGGCCTATCAATCTCTATAACGTAACCAAAAAGCTTATCTCTAAAATTTTGAATGGGCGCCTTGCCCCTCTTCTTCCCTCTATCATCTATCCGAACCAGAGTGGTTTCATCAAGGATCGAGTCATTAGTATAACATTCTTTTAGCCCAGGAGATGATCCACGATATCTCTTACACAGATCGGTTATGAACCCCAAATCTTGCGCTGAAGTTAGATATGGCTAAGGCATATGATAATGTTGAGTGGCCTTTTCTCAGGGAGATGCTGACCTCCATGGGATTTTCAGAGCGGTGAGTCAACTTTGTGGAGACGTGTGTCGAGCACTGCAAGTTCTTTGCTTTGGTCAATAGCAGCCCCACCGACTTCTTCTCTTTGTCTCGAGGCCTCCGACATGGGGACCCTCTCTCTTCCTCACTTTTTGTTCTGGTGGTGGACTATATATCTCTCAGCGCCATCC